TGGGTCTAAGGTTTCATCACTGAACCTCAGGTTCCAGCACATAATTTTAAGCATTGTTTTTCTTATGTACTGACAAGCCAATGTAGAATTTGTTTTATCATACCTTTAATACATTGCATCAAAATAATTCTTCTGTATCATGCATTTTTTAAATTCATTGTTGGTATTTTTTTTTTATTACAAGTAACAGCATTTCATATCACCACAGGAGGATGCTGGATGAGGGTGAGGAGCAAGGAAAACCACAAGGAACAGCAAATCAAGACCCAGCTTCAGTCCAGGCTATAGAAGATCTTGTGGAGGAGCAGGAACAACTAGCCACAGACCAGGCTGAAGTGGATGATATTGTGGATGAGGAGCAGGACCAACTAGCCACAGACCAGGCTGAAGTGGATGATCTTGCGGATGAGGAGCAGGACCAACTAGCCACAGACCAGGCTGAAGTGGATGATCTTGCGGATGAGGAGCAGGACCAACTAGCCACAGACCAGGCTGAAGTGGATGATCTTGCGGATGAGGACCAGGACCAACTAGCCACAGACCAGGCTGAAGTGGATGATCTTGCGGATGAGGAGCAGGACCAACTAGCCACAGACCAGGCTGAAGTGGATGATCTTGCGGATGAGGAGCAGGACCAACTAGCCACAGACCAGGCTGAAGTGGATGATCTTGCGGATGAGCAACAAGAAGAGCAAGCTGATGTGGTAGTCACTCAAGCCAGGGCAGCAGAAGGTGTCATTGAAGACGACAAAGGACTGCAGGAGTTTTCCACCGCGGATGACCTGGCACACCTAACAGAGTCCCCGGAACAAAAGCAAAATAAACAGGAGTTTGAACACAGCCCTGCAAGTGAAGGTCATTGGCAAGATGATAATATGGCTGAATGCATGGTGGAGGAAGAGACCTCACTTGTAGAAGAAATGGCGGAGAATCAGCAAGAAGTAGAAGACACACCGCAACATATGGAGGGTACATTACAACATGATGTTGAAGATGTACCACCGATTGATGAAGAAGCACCACAATGCATTGATGAAGAAATGCCACATGATGATGATGTAGATGAACAGCAAGATGTTGATGTAGATGAACAGCAAGATGTTGATGTAGATGAACAGCAAGATGTTGATGTAGATGAACAGCAAGATGTTGATGTAGATGAACAGCAAGATGTTGATGTAGATGAACAACAAGATGTTGATGTAGATGAACACCAAGATGTTGATGTAGATGAACAGCAAGATGTTGATGTAAAGGAACAGCAAGATGTTGATGTAGAGGAACAGCAAGATGTTGATGTAAAGGAACAGCAAGATGTTGATGTAGAGGAACAGCAAGATGTTGATGTAAATGAACAGCAAGATGTTGATGTAGATGAACAGCAAGATGTTGATGCAGAGGAACAGCAAGATGTTGATGCAGAGGAACAGCAAGATGTTGATGTAGATGAACAGCAAGATGTTGATGCAGAGGAACAGCAAGATGTTGATGCAGAGGAACAGCAAGATGTTGATGTAGATGAACAGCAAGATGTTGATGTAGATGAACAGCAAGATGTTGATGCAGAGGAACAGCAAGATGTTGATGCAGAGGAACAGCAAGATGTTGATGTAGATGAACTACAAGATGTTGATGAAGATGAATCACAAGGTGTTGATGTAGATGAATCACAAGGTGTTGATGTAGATGAATCACAAGGTGTTGATGCTTTGGAACCAGAGTGTCATGAAGATGGTGAAGCAATGGAGCATGAAGATACAGGCTTGAATGTTCAGGAGGAAAATACTAAACCAAGCCATCAGCTTGAAGATGGTGAATTAGATTCCAAAGAGGTTAATGTTAATATGGATGAACAGGAAAAGAAGACTTCCTTAGAAGAGCAAGAGGAAAGTGAAGCATTACTAGAAGAAAATGAGGTTTCAACTGGAGCTGAAAATGTGTTAGTTAACCAACAAGACACATCTGTGATTGGCTCGGGAACTGAAGGGACACCAAACACTTCAGAAAATGACACCGCTCTTATCCAGGAGGGTGAATCTACAACAATGGATGTTTCAGAAGCAGAACCAGGTGAAGTTCTTTGTGCAGAAGAAGAGGTTGGAACCGGGGACCATGAAGAACAACAGGAAATCCAAAATGGTGGAAAATCACATCTCGGAAATGAGGAAGAAGCTGCAGAGCATTCTGAAAATGAAGAGCTGATAGATGTTGAAAGCTTAGATGTGGATGAGACAGGTAGTGTTGCACTTGATGACCAGAGGCAGGTGGAGGGTAGTGAGCAAGCCGAGACAGAAGAGCCTCCTGAAGAGTCTATGGAAGTCGAAGATGGTCCAGAAACTGGGGTTAGGCCAGAGGATGATATAGAAGGAGAAGTTAATGGTATTGAAGATGAAGAGGAGCTAAATGACGATGAACTGAGTCCAGAAGGCATTGTTAATGGCACCGTTTCTGATGGCAAGTCCCTTCCTCAGTGTCGTCTCAAGCGTAACTATTGCTGTGCTCATTGTGGAATTAACACCCAAAATCCTCGGGAACACCTCTATCACCTTCGAGATAGTCATGGAGAACGAATGAAAGTGTTTGAGTGTCCAAGATGTATATATGCTTCTAAGAACCAGCAGAAGTTGATTCGTCATGCTCGAATGGTTCATAAGTTGAAGATAAAACGACTAGAATCTAGCAGCCCATCTAAAAGGCGTTCTAAATCACCTCGGGCTAAAGTTTCCCCTGTGAAGTCGACCAGGGCAAGTGTTTCCCCAGGTAGATCTACAAGAAGTAGTCCTGGTAAGTCACCCCGTAGTTCCGAGTCTACTTTTGACACTTGGGATGGAATGGATGATGACGATGATGATGATGAAGGTGAAGGTGAGAATGAAAATGAAAATGAAAATGAAGACGATAGCCAAGTGGATTTTAGCGAGTCACCGGTGAAGAGTGATGAGAAAAAATCATATTACTGTGAGCACTGCGAATTCACCTGTAAAAGTCGCAAACTGCTGAACAGTCACGAAACCTCATATCATCTTAAACGCAGATTCTTTCGTTGTGTTAAATGTAATTATGTTACCCACCTCAAGGGACGTTATACCAAACACATGAAGTATCACCAGTTGCCTATCCTCAAATGTGATTACTGTGACTTCCGAACACCATATCGTTGGAATCTAGATCGTCACCTAAAAAATCACACTGAGGATTGTGGAGAATTTAAGTGCCATCTTTGTAATTTTACTGCTCAAATCAAACAGAGCCTTACAGTACACATTTCAAACCACCACTTAACATCTGAGCAGATTCGTGAGAGGGAGATGAGGCGTACAATAGGCATTAGTGATCCTGCTGATTATACCTCTGATGATCAAGAATCAGAACTTTTGCGTTTAGAAAGAGATGAGCATCCTGACGCTTTGTTGTTACCGGGCTTTGATCCACCCGACTCTCCCTCCGCACCTGATGGCTCTCAGAGTCAGCTCACTAGTAATAACAGTTTCCGAGTGTCAAACATTGACATGGGAAGCCAAGATGATTCCCATATGAATGCCGAAGATAGTAAGGATGAAGATGGAGAACCTAAAAGAAAGAAGCCAAAGATTAAAATTACCTTGAAGAAAATGAAGGTGAAAACGCCGAAGACCAAGGATACTTTTTTCCAAGAGCTCAATGAGCGTCACAACTTTGAGGAAGATTTCATTCATCCTGATGATGTTGTTCATCGTCATGGCAATGTGTACATCAAGACATTTAAATGCAGTTTCTGCACATTTAAGGCAGCATTTAAAAATGAAGTTTCACGTCATGAGAAGAAAATTCACAGTATCCCCCTCCCTAAGTACGAAGTCCATACCAAGAGAGCAAAAAAGTCTGTAAAAGCTTCAAAACGTGCCAGTGCAGCATCCAATGATGTGTTAAGTCAAATTTTACAGTTCCCTCAGACAGACTATAAAAATATATCTGACTTAAAAATCGCAGATAATCCTAATAAAGGAAAGGGGGCACAGGATAAAGAATCTGAATCCAAGAATGATAAGGCTTCTCAAGAGGTGAAACATACTCAAGAAGAAGGCAGCAGAGATGCGAGTCGAGAGGCATCAGTTGAGCCCCCAGATGATCAGTTGTCAGACTCGAAAGAGTCCCCTCCATCCAAAGATTCTAGTAAGAAGAAGGGCCTCTCCTTTTTTGAGAAGCTACAAGAAAGAATGCCAACATCTAATGTGCAAAATTTGGTATGCCAATTTTGTGGGCATGAATCAAAATGTCTTTCTGAATCAGTTCGCCATCAGAAATTACACTTGAGTGCAAAAAATATATATGCACCCACTTCTCTCTCAACCCGTTGTCAGTTCTGTCGACACAGGTGTAAAACAACAGATGATCTAATGAATCACTTAAAATTATGTACAGAGGCCCGTAAAAATCAAATAACAGATTCAGGAAGACGGCCAAGTGGTGGGCGGCCTGACGAAAATGAGGAGTTGAGCACTGATGACAAGAAGGACATTCTAGCTGATACTAAAGATGAGAATATTAAAGATGTTGATGACAAAGCTGAAAAGTTGACAAATAACAGCTCCCAAGATAAGAATGATGAGAAACATCCCATGGAAAACAGAGTTTTTGTCTGGAATAACTTCAAGGCACGGGAAGGTGAACAAGGTACAGCAAAAAGTAAAGACAGTAGTACGAAGGAAGGTAAAGAAAAAACAAACAAAAGAGGTTCTTCAGAGGGTTCTAAGAAAGCATCGGGAAAAAATTCAGGTACAAAAAGTCCAGTTCCATATGATGGCCCTCTTGACTACATTGAGAGCCCAACTCCCCAAGGTCGCCATTATTATAGCAAACGAGTTTACAGATGTCCACAGTGTAGCTTCTGGGCCACTACAGCATCAAGGTTTCATGTACACATTGTTGGCCATTTCAATAGGAAGCCATATAATTGTTCCGAGTGTGGCTACAAGTCTAACTGGAGATGGGACATTACCAAACATATAAAGCTGAAAACATCACGTGACAGCAGTCATCAAGATGCTCAAGTTATCATCACTGATGAAACGGGGGAAAAAAATTATGAAAAGTATGATTGCTATCTTGCAATAATCCAGCTTGACGAGACTAATGCCCATCGCACTGAGGGTGGCATACCAACACGCAAAGGACGACCAAAGCGCACTCCTGAAAAAGAGGAAGGGCAAGAACCATCCACCCCATCTGCCTCCCCAGTTCGTAAACCTCCAATGGTATCTATTCCTGTAATGCCTCGTCTTCAAGGACTGCCTCGCCTGACTAGAGCTCCAGGTCGCGGGAGTTCATCTCGTCCCGGACCGATGCCCTTTGGTCCCATACTTCCAGGACCTAAGATGATGGTCCAAATTGCTGGCAGTGGGGCGGCATCAGGAACAACTCCCAACAGTAGGCCGCCTCCACCACTGAGCCTGCGGGGAAACCCCAAGTCGTCTTCCACACCACCAGCCGCTAATGGCAGTAGCAAAGCAAGCAGTGCTGGAGACAGTGATGCGGGGAGCCCAGTGACTGGTAGCCAGTATCAGATCATCACACCTCAGGTGAGATAGTTGATCTCTTCATTAATCATAATTGTTATTAATGTTATAAGTAACGTTTATCTTCACAGTCTTTAATTGGGAAAGGCATTTTCACCTAGCAAGTTTTGCTTTAGCATTTTTGCATTCTACTGAAGATGCAGAACTTTAAATAAATTACATTTATAATGTTTACTAATTTATTGAATTATGATCCCTATAAATTCACATAGTTATTAATTTAAAATTAATTAATTTTTAGACACAAAGGCAAGCAGAGGTTTTTGTGTCAATTTGCAGGCAAATTACTTTACTATTTTCTTTAACTTTTAAAATAACTTAGACTATATTTTCATATAAGTAACCCACAGCATATTTAATTTTCTTGTCACAGTTGATGCATCTGATATAGAAAGAGCATTCAACGCATTGTTTATACAGTATAAGAAAATGCAATTCACTTTTGTTATGCTTTTGTTTTGAACTTTTGAAGCTGTTACTGAGTGACACTGATTAACGTATTCAGTGCTCAGTTAATTATGCATCTTTAGTAGTTTAATTACCTGGAATTACTTATTATTATAATTGCTATTTTATTATTACAATAGCTTTATTTAATATTTGCACTGCAGCATTTGAAACATGTATTTTTACTCACAAAATAGATAAGGAAGGTTTTCAGATTCATTTTTGTGTTGGAATAGTTCAGTTAACCCAACCCACGCATATGAAATTATATTTATTTTTTTTGTTTTGTTGGGGTGGGGGGGGGGGGAAACAAGACGCACCTGTATACAGTATATGTACAATACTTTAGGCTCAGAGGTCCATCCCCCCCTCCCCCCCCCCCACCACCCCCCCCCCCCCCCACCACCCCCCTCCCCCATCCCCCATCCCTAAGGTCAAACTACTGACCCTTCCCAGGATGCAACCTCACAACGGTTGCTTAATTCCCGGGTACCTATTGACTTGCTAGGCAAAAAGAGGAATTAGGTGAAAGGAAACGTGTCAAACCATTTCTGTCCCACCCGGGAATTGAACCCCAGGATCACCAATTGTGAGTAGAACAAAGCCAACTGTACTACGAGATCCTAACCAAATGAAAGGGCCCACGTTTTCTTCCATTCAGGATGAACCAAAATGTTTTGTCACTTTCATTTAATTTCATGTGTGTGTGGGTTGAGTTATTTGTTTCAACCACATTGTAACTTATTGTCTGCAAATAGTTCAAATGTTGGAGCGCTTCACAGTGCAGGTCATTACATTAGGGTATGGGGTGCATAATAAAGAAAGAAATTGAAATTGAGATATATTAGGGGCCTGTGTCTGGATTTCTTGTGGGGTCCTAAATATATGAAGCTTTGGGAGCCGCCTGTAATTATGTGCCTTCTGGTCGCTCATGCATGATCTTAAGTTGGTCCGGCATTTTTGCTTTTCATTCCAGCAAATATTAATGCATTCTGGAGCACTAATATACTGTAATAAACTTAACAGTATATTATCTACTTTTCAAAATATATCCATGAGGAGTATATGCCTCTGCTAAAACTAACATACCTTACCTTGGTCTTAGAAATTTACAAATTTAATTAGGATTACACAAGCTTTCAAAAACTTTTCATACTAATCGAAACTACGATTCATTCCAAGGCCAAAACCGAGAAACAAAAAAAGCAGACAACAGCAACAAATCCTATCTAGGCCTAACCTACCAAACCTTTGACCTAATAGGGTCCTAATATCAAACCTTTGATAGGGCATTTATGCATTATATTAAACCTTGGATACATTTGGTCAGGCCTAGATAGATTAGGCCGCTGTATTACGGGCTATTCATGCCCGCGCCACCTCTTTGGTTACTTAATCGTCATCAATCAAGGGGCGATTATGAGTTATTCATGCCCATGCCACCTCTTGGGTGGCTTAATCGTCATCAACCAGGGGGCCATTACGGACTATTCATGCCCGTGCCACCTCTTGGGTGGCTTAATCTTCATCGGTCAGACTGCTGTCTTTGCATCTCGTTTCTTGGTTTCATCCTTTGAGCAAAATCATAAAATTTGCGACAGTACAAAATGTGAAGTGTTATTTATGTTCGAGACTATTATTTTGGAGGATGGGTTCAGCATTTCACACCTACAGTTATGTGAGTTTCTCTTATGTAGATGTAAATTATAATTATTTAATTACTGTATTATTAAATTAAAATTATTAAAGAATATATATATATATAAATAATTCTAAAGAATAAACCAAAAACTTGAGTAAGATACTGTATAATTTAAAGTTAAACCTATCTGAGCATTTTCCTCGTGTTTGATGTAAGCCAAGAAAGTTGTAAAATAGAATAGAACAAAATTTTTTGGCTAGAATAAAGGGGGAAAGCCAGCTCACTATCAGAATTATCCTTGGAAAATTCTTTGTCTAATAGGATGCTATATGATTTTTAGGAATTAATTAGGGATCCAATTTACTGCAATAAGGTGTAACACCAGAGGTTATGGTGTAAATAATGAGGGGTAATGATAATAATGAGTAAATAATGTAAATAATAAGCAGTAATAATGAGTAAATAATACTCCCCGTAGCCCGGCCTGCTCGGGGAGTAGAACTCCCAAAACCCTCTCCGGGTATGCTTCTCTCTCTCTCTTTCTCCAAGGAATGACTTGTGTTAGAATAAATGTGTTGGCAAGTTTGTATATTAAATTCTGTATCAAAAGTGTAGAATGAAGGGCCAAGAAAGGTAACCGGAAATAATTCAAAATACTGTATAGGCCTAACTATAAACTTGAAAATATAATTTGATGGTTTAGTTTGTGGGTTTAGACATGCTGCGAGAATTGAGATTTTTGCTCATTACCATTGTGGCTCTTTTTGTAGTTAGAAATATTAAGCTGGAATTGTTTCCGGTTCTAATTTAAAACTTGCTGATGGTTGGTCATCTTCAGTTTGTAGATTGATTAGTTTTGTCTGTAATGAATTTTAAAAGATTTACAAAGATATTCATGTAATCTTCTTTTTTTTACGTTAACAAATTAAGAAAAGGATTCATGAATTACATTTAGAACTAGCTACTGTAGTAGTAAATTATGAACAGAACTCGTAAATATTGTAATTAACTGTAAATGTTGCACTTAGTGTGTAAGGGTTTAATCTGCTCTTACTGGTGTTTCATTTGATTAGGAATGGAAATGTTGCCTCTTGAAACTGCAATAAATATAACACTGCTTATTATACACACATCATTGAATCATTTTTTTTTTTTTAATAGCAAGGTTATGATGATGTGTGCGGGCTCAATAGTCAAGCTTTCGTGCCTGTCTCGGTGCCATTTTTCTGTTTATGAAAATTTGTTAGCTGGTGTGGTTGTGTAATTACCTAAGTGTAATTACCTAAGTGTAGTTACAGGATGAGAGCTACGCTCGTGGTGTCCCGTCTTCCCAGCACTCATTGCCAGATATCGCTTTGAAACTACTGACGGTGTGTTTCGGAACTAATGTTTTTGTGTGATGGCTGTGTTTCACTAATGATAAAGATACGAATATTTGTTAAGGTTACATTTTTTGTTTTGTTTTTTTGTTTTTTGCATGCAAGTGTAATTGTTGGTATTGTTTCATATATGTGTAATTTATTACTTTGATAATCTGTTACATTTGGTAGTGTGGTTAGATTTTTTCATTCTTTTTCTATTGACAGGAATGTTGAAAGGTAGATATTATTTTATGAAGGGTGGTGATAATACCTTAGGCTTAGGTTAAGACTAATCTTCTGCTGGCTTTGGTACTTGTGGGAATTATACCATAGGGACAATTCTTAATTACAGTTGGCTTTGGTTACTTGTGGTGATTATACCCTAGGATAAGGCTCAGCTACAGCTGACTTTGGTGATAATATCATATGGTAAGACTTAAGCTAAAGCTGGCTTTGGTGAAGGTGCTCTGATTATAGTGCTGTAGATGCATGATTTTGGCTATTATTTTGAGTATGGTGCATATATGGACCTCTAGTAAGGCTTATCTAGTTAACACTCCATTGCTCAAATTACAAACAATAATTGTGTAGATTCCCGCTTGATAATGAATGTAGCAGTGTGCTTCCTCTCTCCTTGTCACTATCTTGTAGAGAAGTAGTTGGAACCTGGCGGTTTCCATGTCCCTGGTCACCGAACGATCCAATGAGCCTATGATATTGCAGGGGGCAGTTAATACCAGCCTGGAGACCCTTCAGCTACTGGCATCTGGCTCAACCAACTTGTCTAAGCTTAAGAAGCAGCAGAAAGGTTCTATTGTGGAGCCAGAAGACAAAGAGAGTCAGGCCACCTTATCCCACCAGGTGAGGCAGGATGGTTAACGGAACCATCGTATGAGATAATCAGTTGTTGAGGGTGGTGGAAGATGGGTGGAGGGGAGTTAATGTTAATACAGTACTGTATTAGGTTTCCCATTTGGGTTAAGTATTTCTATCTTGGCCTGAACGTTTTTAAGCTTTTGTATTTTGTTGTGTGTTTTAAGTTGGCTGGTGTTTACAGTACAGGAATATTGTTAGTTTTCTTGCACAATAGGTATAGCTGTGTCTCCAGACAGATTTTGAACCCATTGTTGTGTTCTATGAGGAAAGTAAGTGGGATTTTAGGTCATGGTTTGGTTTCTGATATCTTAAGTTCATTTTTTTTTAGAGTACCCTGTATATTGAATAATTTGTTATTTATACTTGGATAAGAGGGTTCGGAGCCTTGTATATTTTTCACTATAGCTTTGCTACTAAAAAAAATCATTGCAGCAGTGCAGACATTTTTTTATTAAAAATGTTTTAGCCCTCAAAAATTCTTTATAAATGGTAGCTTTTTGTTTAAAAAAGCCAAAAGCAGATACCCACGTTACAGTAGATATATTAATGATGTTCAATACATTATTTTTATAACGTATAGTATTGCAGTTAAAATATGTTTAACAAAAACAGAGTGCAAGGGTAGTTTTGTTCATGCGTTTCTCTAAATGTTGACAATTTGATTGTGATAAAGCAAAGTTATATGTTCAAATAAGTTAAACAATTCAGTTGCACAGTCATTATTGCTTTCACTCACATTCTGGTGTTGAATTATCCCCAGATTTTGACATGTATATTTACAGTAGTGGGCAGTTGTAATGGAAATATTGATTGTAGTTTTATTGAAACATTAGGGGCTTAGGGTGTGCAGTTTTAGCTACTATTTTGAGTATGATGCATGTATGTACAGTACCTCTAGTAAGGTAGAGCTGTGAGGTTAGGTGTTCGAAGCAGTGAGGCTAGGTGTTCGAAGCAGTGAGGTTAGGTGTTCAAAGCAGTGAGGTTAGGTGTTCGAAGCAGTGAGGTTAGGTGTTCGAAGCAGTGACGTTAGGTGTTCGAAGCAGTGAGGTTAGGTGTCCAAAGCTGCGAGGTTAGGTTTTCAGAGCTTTTGGTGTAAGGTGTTTAGATCTGTGAGTGATGTAAGGTGTCCAATTCTGCGGGTGAGGTGGTGTGAAGTGCGGAGTTCAGATTAGAGAAAACAAAAAGAATATATGAGCGCTCAAATGTTCTAGGGCTAGGGTTGAATGATTGTATTTGTTGTAATTCAAACTGAACTTTTCCTCTCTGACTGTTATTGACTCCAAGACCATCCATTTAATCAAACTAAAGCCAATTTTGTCCAGAATTTGGAAAGTATGTAAATAATGAATTTGTTCTGCATCTTAACTAATAGTACAATGGAAACAAAAAATTCTGCAATTTAATAGTGATTTTTTTGTATTCTACAGTACTTTTAACAAATAGATTTATTGCCTTTCTTGATTTCCAATTTTTGTTTTTTGTTTTTGCAAAATCATTGCCTTATTAAAAGTAATGCACTGCATGGATGATGATGATCTTTTCTGGGAGGGCTCCTGTCAGTGGCTTCCTGTGTCACGGTGTCACCAAAGGAACCCACCAAAAAGGGCCATTTCATTACATACAACGCAGGGTTTTTCTGGGTTCTCCGAGTTAGGATAGAATATCATGGAAATTTTGGCGCGTGTAATTTTACAAATTCATTAACAGTTGTTATTATTTACATTAACTTGAACATTTAATTATATAGGATGACTGAAGTTTATGCACTGTAACTCTTGGAACATTGAGGAGAAATGTATCTTAGAAGTGATGCGTGCTGAATGCTTAAACGAATCGTTGATTTGTGCATACATATAATAGGTGCTGAGTGAGAGAGAGAGAGACAGTGGAAAGTAGGTGATAAATCTAAAACAATGTAGGATACAGTACTATAAATCATACAGTGTTGGGTGCTATAAACAGAAAACATTCCTCTAAAATTCATAACTGAAACAACAGTCAATTTGTTTAAAGGTGCATAATGAGAATGTATGTTTTACTTTAGTTGCTTTTGTTAATTTTTTTTTAGATATGTTAATAAAATGCTCCCATTCTCCCCTCCAATAAACAGAGATTGGAGTTAGCAAGTACAGTAGTCCTGAAAGTGCAATCTGTAATAACTAATGAGGAACATTCTAGGACTGTTAGGCATATGGACGGTTTGCTAAGTGACAGCTGGGAGAGTGTTCTGACTCGATCTTTGACTTGGTACCACCAGGTGTTTTGGAGTTTAGCGGTCTCAGGTCTGTGTTTTTTTTTGTCATGCACTTGCTTTCTACATATTTTGAACATTATACCCCTTGCATTAATTTGTATTAGTAGGAACATGATGTGAGATATACATTTAGCTTATTGGAAGTGAGGTGCTCTTGGAGTCCCCACATTATTGCAGCTTTGTTTGCAATATAATCAGCATTCATTGGTTAACCAAGCTGCTCTATGCTGCTTAGACTCGGCTCTTGACACTTTGACGTATGATTCACAACCCGGTTTATCGGTTATTCTGTGCAATTGTTTATCAAGTTCTCTTATTAGCCCTATGAGAGGTTAGCTAACTAGTGTTAGGCTGATACACTGGTCTCACTCCACTTTTTTTTTTTTGCTAGGAAAGTTGCCAGCCAACTAAGCATGAGAAATATGGATTTGGTTAATAGGCAACAAAGTATAAGAGGTCTGAATTTGTTTTGTATCAATATATATAGAGAGCTTGTAAATATTTGTTTACTTATGGTGTAAGGTTTCTTTGCTCTTTAGTTCCTGTTTATAGTTTGCCGACTGCCGCTTAAATGCAAACTTCTTGTGATTGGTTAATCAGTTTTTAGAATGATTTGCTGTTGTTGGGACAGGAAGCGTAGTGAAGTCCCCCTAGGATCCCGTGAGTGACAGGATGCCGCCACTCTCGACAGGTCCCTAACTTCCGAGTATTTATTTACTATTAGCTGAAGATAGGTGTCGGGGGGTGGGGGAGGAATGAGACACGTCCAAATGTCTTGTCCTGCTCAGGGAAATCAAACTCAGGTCTAATTGATCATGAACCGACTACACTAACAACTGGACCCGTTGGCAAGGCATTCAGTTACTGTGGACTGTCACCCTTGGGTTTCTTTGTGCCTATCTGGTACACATAGAGCAGAATTCTTTGCATGGTATATGAATGTGCATTTTTTATTATTGGAAAATCTTGAGCTTGGTCCCTCTTTCAAGCCATTTACATTATATATATATATATATATATATATATATATATATATATATATATATATATATATATATATATATATATATATATATATATATATATTAATTTATGTATGTAGCATTAGTCTGATGTTTGTGCTTGCAACAAGGTCACTTGGTCAATTATATATGTTCTTGTGTTATAGTAGATGGCCAAGGAAACTGTTTAGCATCTTAATCTGAATATAATACACAGTGTGTGTGTGTGTGTGTGTATTATATAAAAGTAAATTTCACTATTTACTGGAGTGTGCATGGTATTTAACATAGGATTATGTATGTAACAGTAGCTGTTGACACTAATTACTTTTTCATTGGCTTTTGCTGATCAGTCATATTTGGAATTAAATATAGTACAATAAAGCAAACTCTTGCATTGACCAAGGTACAGTATGCTATGACAGGAAGCCTAAGGTATTCTCTTCAATCATTAGAAATAACATTTAACCCACAAAACTTCAATACATTTCACAGAAAAATGTGTAGTATACCTGAATGAAAATCTTGGGACATTCCTGAATGAAAAATTATCACTGGAATAACCTACTCCTTAGAAGAGGAATATAAATACATATTCCCCAAAAATGCCAGTCAGAAATGCACTGCTGCACACACCATAAAAATCCAATAAAGGGGAGTACGTTGTAAAATTGCTAAACACACAGAATTCAATAACAAAGCAGAGAGGGCATCATTATGGGTAAATACTGGTTCAGTAACAGGGTTGTTGATTTGTGGAATCAATTGCCGCGTAACGTGGTGGAGGTGGGGTCCCTCGATTGTTTCAAGCGCGGGTTGGACAAGTATATGAGTGGGATTGGGTGGTTATAGATAGGAGCTGCCTCGTATAGGCCAATAGGCCTTCTGCAGTTACAGTACCTTTGTTCTTATGTTCTTATGTTCTTATGATGCCCATTTCCCTAAAATAATAATGTCTTAAGAGGTGCTGAAAAATCAAATCAAATTGAATATTTTATTGACAGACTCTGTTGGTGACCTTTGATAAATACGACCATCGTCATTTACAGACAAGGTGATGACCTTTGATTCCGTATATATAATCAAAACGATGACAGTGTCATTGTATACACAATGAAGGCATAAAGTACGAGAGGAAAATGTGAATTGTAGGTCTACAGCAGAACTCGGTACAGTGAGCAACCCTAAACATGTCAAATTCTATATTGATCTAAAGGTCTTTATCATCATCAAATACCAGTCTGTACTCAGATTTTCCTCATTTTGATATCAGATATGTTTCTTCTTATATATTTGACAGCATAATGTTTTTAACTAATGTGCTCCATAATGTGCTAAGAAATTTTTCCTTTGAGGTCAACATGAACTGCAGATGGGTAGTACTGTAATATTCATAATAGGTGAGCAAGAGTTGTGTGGTGCTGAATTTAGAAAAGTTTCAGCTTGCACATGAATATGATTACAAAGTAGGAAAGGTTAAGAAAATATAAAAGTCATATAATGGAATCAAATCCACATCACTGAACTCATCAGGCACACATAAGTGGCCCATGTGGCAGTATAAATAAATAAATAAATATAAATAAATGTTTATTTAGGTAAGGTACATACATACAAAAATTTTTTACAAAGATTGGTTGACTTATAGGTAGAGCTAGTACATACAATGCCTAAAGCCACTACTGTATTACGCAAAGCGTTTCGGGCATAGTGTGCCTGAGGAGGAGTTAAAGTATTTAGGTTCAATTCTGTGGCACCTTCCTCTTGTCACTTGATCTTTTCATGTACAGTATATATATGTCAGACTTCTGCTGGGGTTTTGTCTCCAGTTCTTGCCACACTGATCAAAGGCAGCATTCTTTTCTGTGGTCAGTACTCCTCACAGTGTAGCAGTCTAGATGGCACCTGGTTACTGTCTTTCACAGGGCTCTGCTCTTTATGTCTTCAGTCAGATTGCACCACAGAGGCCTTGCTTCGTGCTTCTGAGGGATTAGTCCTCGGTGCAATTCACTTTTTGGGGGTGTCGAAGGATTTGGCTGTCTGTCAGTTTAGATGTTTGGCCATCAGTTGGTTGACCTGTTTGCCGCTGTAGATGTTTGGCCATCAGTTGGTTGACCTGTTTGCCACTGTAGATGTTTGGCCATCAGTTGGTTGACCTGTTTGCCACTGTGGAATTGGCAGCTTCCAGTAGTTATGGCAAATCTGAATTTTTTAGGCTTTTGCAGAGGATACTTTTTAGAACATAAGAACAAAGTAACTGCAGAAGGCCTATTGGCCCATACGAGGCATCTCCTATTTATAACCACCCAATCCCACTCATATGCATGTCCAACCCTCGTTTGAAACAATCGAGGGACCCCCACCTCCACCACGTTACGCGGTAATTGGTTCCACAAATCGACAACCCTGTTACCGAACCAGTATTTACCCAAGTCTTTCCTAAATCTAAACTTATCCAATTTATACCTATTGTTTCGTGTTCTGTACTGTGTTGATACTTTTAATACCCTATTAATATCCCCAAATAAGGGATTTTGCCTGGCCTGGAGTCATTGGTCTTATCTCTACCTCTTACAGAGTAAGGCTGTGTATCCTTACTCCTGAAATTTGCTTGTACTTTTTTTTTTTAAGTTTTTGGGCTTTTCCTTGCCATAGCTCATGGTAAGCCTTACCCACTAGTTGTCCCTGGAATACAACCTACCAATCTTTAACAATCATTTCTGTCCAGGCCGGTAATTGAATGCCGGGTCCTCGATTGTGAATGAAGGACATAGACCACTGTACTACAGAACCCTTACAGGCTTTCCAAAAGTACACATGAGCATTATCACTAACTTTATTAAACCGAAGAGTGTAAACAAAAAGTGTTGTTGATAAGAATGCTGTCATTGTAGTTAGCATTAGAATGAATGGTGTCATAATATAGTCTAATCAGCTCTGTAGGTGAAGATGGGCCTGTAAAATTGATCCATAATGGACTCTGTAATACAGAATACTTAGAAATTACTTTTAAGATATGAGAGTCCTTTTCATATTTAAATTAACCTTATTTGACACTGTATGGCTTTGAAAACCTTGTGACAGAGGTATGTTAAAAATATTTGAACAAATCCACAAGGGTCGTGATGAGGGTTCGAACCTACGTTCGAGAGCATCCCAGACGCTGCCTTAATCGACTACGCTACGACTAAGGCAGCGTCTGGGATGCTCTTGGACGTAGGTTCGAATCCCCGGCACGGCCTTTGTGGATTTGTTCATTTGATGCATCACGCTATTGTGATTTCTATGTGTTAAAAATATTTGTTTAAATTTGATATAGAATGGTGACTTTTTTTAGTATAGGTGTGGAATGCTGTCTTGTGATTGAAGCATGGCAGGTATTATTTGTGACTGTGGTAGTAGTGACCTGTTAATGTATTTATGGAACCAGTAGTGGTTGTGTGCTGCACATTGTCATCCTTATGAGGTGTGTCGGCCTCGTAGCAGCACCTGGTCTGGTTTAACCAGATACTCGTTAATCTTAGGCAGGACTGAAAAAATGTTCCTTTTGCGTGACTTCAGATGAGATTGCTAGTGTGGCTGAACTTGCTGGCGGGAGGTGCTGACGAACAGGTAAAATAATGAAGCTTTCTGTCTTTTTTTTTCCAGTCTGGGTTAATGTACAGTGCCACACACCACTGCTGCAGCTTGTACACCTTGCATATCTTTGGCTTTTTAGCGACTCACCTGTCTAGTGCACTGTGTGTGTGTGTGTGTGTGTGTGTTGTGTTGAGCACAGCCTCTGCTTCCTGTGGATTGTATTGATTCTCTTATACCATGCTTTGTCGAGGAGAATGCAGTCACAGAATCTTGCCAAGACGCACACTTAATTAATGCACCAATGGTCTATTTAGGTGCACATTTATGAGAGCAACACAAACTAAACTGGCTCGTTTAAAGCAGTATTAAGTCAATTATTTTAGTTTGGGCATAAGGAGTGCAACCATCATTTTGATAATGTTGCATTAATAGTGTTGAGACGCAACTCGTCCTTGCATAGTAATATTAGTACATGGTTACGTAGGTCAAATAGGTTAATGAAAGATGAAACTTAGTACATACTACACCATCTGTATATCCTGTTTGCCCTATAGCAATGCAGTATTTACGAATCATTATTGTACAGTATTATGGCTTCCTCTGTCATTTTACTCGTAATACCAACATGATGCTGCTTTTCAGTTAGTAAAACAATTTTGTCAATAAGCTGGAAGTAAAATGTGTATATACAGTATATATATATATATATATATCGGTGAGGTAGTAACGCCAATGCAACCTCATTACCGGAATACATGATGTGCAGTGTTGCCAGCACTGACTTGTATGTTTGCACAGTTACCTTTCTTGGGTTTCTTACGCACTGCACAATAAGTAATTATATTCTCCAAAAATATGACATTGGTATGTTTTGCGTAGTTTTTTTTTCTGCTGCCATTTAGTATTAGAAAGGGTTAGTGCATCTTTTATTTAAAGAAAGATCTAATTTTACGGAGTAAAGTGTAGCAGATGATGAGTGTAAGGGTAGTCCACTGTTCAAGTTAGTGTGGAAGTATGTAACCTTGAATTATGACATAGTGTATAGGCAATTTGAATTCCTGCTGGTAACTAAGAGTTAACTAAGTCTGTAGTATAGCTATGTTTCATAATACAGTACAGTATTATTATTTGTAAAAGTTACATACTAAATAGTTACTCCTGGTTTAACTGTAAGCTTCTGTTTCATTGATGACATGTTGGGGGGTACAGTTGAAAAATGGTGACGACAACGTGATAACCTGCGATTTTGATTACTGGTGACGATGACTAAACCACACACCAGCAGATGAAGACGATGAAGATGATGACGCTTCGGTCCATCCTGGACTATTATCAAGTCGATAATGGTCCAGGATGGACCGAAACGTCGTCGTCTCTTCATATTCTGGGTAGTGGTTTGGTCATCATATCTTCAGCCACAGTATTGTGACTCATTACACACAGAGATCACACTAACGTGATGCATCAAATGAACAAATCCACAAGGGCCGTGACGAGGAAAGGCAGTGTCTGGGATGCTCCCGGACGCAGGTTCGAATCCTCGTCACGGCCCTTGTGGATTTGTTCATTGTGACTCATCATCTGTATATTACTGATGACAGTTGACAGACCAGCTCTGGGTTGATGAATGGGCTGGGGTTACAGCTGACAAAGCTATTCATTATTGTAGTCTTGTTCAATTTGTTTTCAAGGCATTTCATCTATTGAATTGTAAATCTTCTGAATTGGGAGTTACATAGCATTGTATTTTCATATACGTACTGTACATGAGTTTTGTTTGTGTATGTACTCACCTAGTTGTGTTTTGCGGGGATCAAGCTTCAGTGTCGGTGTGTTTGTGTCTGTGTGTGTTTTAGATGTGGCGTGATTTCATCTTCAATTTTTAATTTTATGATCATGTTATTTGACAAATTGAGATCATGAATGAAAAATATCTGAAGTGTTAATGTAGACTGTTATCAGACTTGGTAACCTGCTCACTCAGTGGGCAAAACACTACAAGTTGATTCATTAGTAATGGTAATGTCTTCCCATTAACATAATGACGTTGGATAAAATCCAACATTTGTGTATTTGTGAAATTTATGTAATGTATTTACGCCAAGTTGTTCACTCTCTCCTGAGTGCTTTGTCAAGGTCTGAGTGTGTGATTAAGATGAGACTTACATTTCAACGTCTAATCAAGGTGATTAGACGTTGAGATGTAAATCTCATCCTAATCACACACTTAGACCATGACAAAGCCCTCAAGAGAGTGTGAAAGACTTTGTGTAAAATTCCTTACATAAATTTCACAAATATACAAGTGTTGGGTTTTTATCCTAAGTTGATTCCTTGTTACATCAACAATTTTTAGAGTTGCCCCGGGGGATTAGTCAAAGTAAGGTGAGCCACATGCGTCAACTCTGTATCAAATAATTTACGCAAGGATAATTTCTCCTATTTTTTTTTCTTTTTAAACCTAAAAGGGGTACCACCACTGGTGCAATTGTAGGGACCCATAGCCACGGAGTAGAAAATAAAGAGTACCCAGAGAAGACCTTGTGGATATCTTATTGTATTACTCCAAGCTTGATTAAATACTGGTATTTAAACTGTAGAATGGTATACGTAGTTAGAATTACATTGAGCTGGGTACAATAGATAGTCCAAGATGCAGGCTATTAGTAGTATTTCAATGTGGGAATTTTGTCCTGTATATGTCATTTAATTTTGTTCCTATAGTATTATCTTAAGTGAGTAAAAAAAAAAGAAATGTTTTGCAATGACATTAAAAGTTAAAATGTGGAAACTTATTTTTTAAAGGCATTGAAGATAGTATTTTATATATACAGTAGTTTAATTACGATATTTTTATTGCTAATTTGAGTTTAACTTTGTACATTTCATGTAAGGCAAACAAATACTTTTTTAATATTATTACAATGATATTAATGCAGGTACTACTGTATTAATATAATATTTTTGTATTTTGTAAGTTGTAAAAAACAGTTCATCATTAACAGAGAACTCTCCCGAGTTAAAGAGAAAATGCAAGGAAATGCTGTAAAGTCTACAAACCTGGTTATTCCTGTGCGAGTTTTGTTTTGTTAGCATTTGTGCCTTTGCAGGTGTCCGTGTCATCAACGGGTGATGACGGCAGGGAGATGGCCAAGATGGTCTTGGACCACGAGGGCAACCCGGAGTGGAAATGCAACTCGTGTGATTTTAGGTACAGTACTCTCTCTCTTTTTATACAGGTACTGTATATCAGTGCCTTATATATGCTGTATAAATGTTTTCATAAATTGTTAAGCAGTTATTGTAGTTTTGCTTTATTTTTCTAATATCACTGTTTCTACTTTTATCTAAACATTACTCTTCCATTATTCGCTGATTGCATTGTTTTGGTTTTTATTTGTAGAGGTTTTTCCTTGTTTCTTTGGCATCATTTCCATGTAAGTGCCATCCAGGACAGTACTAAGAGAGTTGGAAATATATTGGAAGAAAGAATGTATGATATCACAACCGTAAATGTATGATATCACAACCGTAAATGTATGATATCACAACCGTAAATGTATGATATCACAACCGTAAATGTATGATATCACAACCGTAAATGTATGATATCACAACCGTAAATGTATGATATCACAACCGTAAATGTATGATATCACAACCCTAAATGTATGATATCACAACCCTAAATGTATGATATCACAACCGTAAATGTATGATATCACAACCCTAAATGTATGATATCACAACCGTAAATGTATGATATCACAACCCTAAATGTATGATATCACAACCCTAAATGTATGATATCACAACCGTAAATGTATGATATCACAACCGTAAATGTATGATATCACAACCCTAAATGTATGATATCACAACCGTAAATGTATGATATCACAACCCTAAATGTATGATATCACAACCGTAAATGTATGATATCACAACCCTAAATGTACGATATCACAACCCTAAATGTATGATATCACAACCGTAAATGTATGATATCACAACCGTAAATGTATGATATCACAACCCTAAATGTATGATATCACAACCGTAAATGTATGATATCACAACCCTAAATGTATGATATCACAACCGTAAATGTATGATATCACAACCCTAAATGTATGATATCACAACCCTAAATGTATGATATCACAACCGTAAATGTATGATATCACAACCGTAAATGTATGATATCACAACCCTAAATGTATGATATCACAACCGTAAATGTATGATATCACAACCCTAAATGTATGATATCACAACCCTAATACTGTATAGTGATGACCTAACCATCACACTGTAGTTTCTTGTTGGCACACACACTACAATTCCCATTATTGGGGACAGGAAGCCTGTGCTTAGGCTTACTGAAGTCTCCCATGAGCAAACTACACTACTGACTACTCCCAGGATTCAACCCACAACAGTTGCCTAACTCCTAGGTACATTTTTACTGCTAGGTGAACAGAGGCATCAATAATTGTATAGTGAGCCCCCTCCCTTCAGTAGCTCGTCAAGTGCTGTTGCAAAATGAAATGCAAATGAACCACAGCCAGCCTAAAGCCCACGGCAATGTTCCACCTGTAAGAAGTATTTGGAAAAAAAACACTAAAGCTACAAAGAGAAAGCGAGACTAACGCCATCATTATAAAGCTTGATATAGTCAGGAGGCCAACTGCCAGCTCCTAAGGGCACAGGCTGATGAGAGCCTCCCAGAAAGAACACAGGCCAGGAACATCCCACCAGCTTGGGCAGAGGACGGCCCTCAATCAACAAGGAAAAAGACTGGTGACCACTGCAAGTAAACCCAGCCTGTTCTCATGATTTGACTCTTAAACAAAAAAAAAAATTGTTTACCTAACCAGAAATGTTTACAAATAAGCTAATCACTTCGAAAATGTCAATATTACTATGTTTTAATTTTCCCTAAAACCTTGCCATTTTGACAGATTTATCAATTCTTTTAAAAGTGTGATATCTTCAACCCTTACATAACAGCATATGTTAACATAAAAATCCCCGTTGAAGTAAGATGTATTAAAAATCATAGAGGCTTGCAAAATTAATGCAATCTTGCATTGTCTGTATGTGGGTCCTCGGTTAAGTTAGGTTCAGTCAACAAAGTACATTATTTAAGTGATGATGTGAATGCTCAAAAAAACAGGCATTCTCTACATTAGACGATAGGACAAGTTGTGTAAACCACAGAGTTATGTCTCGGAAACGGACAGGCGAACTGAAACATCCTGCTTGAGAATGTAAACAAGGCAGGAATGAGAGAAACCAACCTCCTGGACCATCATAGACAGGCAGGCAGGCCAGGCATAAGGGAAGCTCTCGGCTGAACAAATCTAACCCAACCCTAACCATAAACATTCAACAGGGAAAGGCGTAGAGTGCCATGGTCAAGAGCAATCATTTACATGATGCAAGCATACTCTCAGCAAAGGCCTGAATATGGACGAGGACTAGGATTTGGTACAGTCACAGTAAGACAACTCGTCAGCTGACAGTATGGAGAATAAATACCATGTGCTACCGTAGAGTGAGGTGACTCAAGAGAAGTCATCTCATAGAAGAGGATCTTAAACCCCTCAGATCAGGTATCTAGTGGGGCAGGAGAAATACCAGCTTGACTACCAAGGAAGGTTACATACCTTCCATTGTTAAATACATACATACATACAGTCAAAGCAGACTGTATGGCTAGAGCACATGTTATATGGGTAGCATAAACACAATCTTGAAGGAGAAATAGTAACAAAGGAATGTCCCATGGAAAACTCATGTTCCAAGGATAGCCAACACCTCTTAGACAAGTTTTACCTTAGCTTCAGACTTCGTCTAAGGTGTCATGCCTCAGAACCTGCAACCAGGCAAGTGATTGAGTGGGCAAGCTGCCATCTGGCAGTGCTCACATGCGTCATATTTTATTTATTTGCACTGCAGCGATGATTGTTACTTTGTTACCCGATGGCACCTAACATTCTTTAAGGAGTGGCTTGTTTTCCTGTGTTTCTGCTTTCTGGTGGTGTTTCTTTCTTGTATATACGTTAACCTCTAATCCCTAAGCCTCCCTCACCCTTCAGAGAAAGCCAGATTCTGGTCCTGGCTTTCATGAGGTAGGGGGTGGGGGGTCTCTGATCTGCATCTTCATCTTCATGAAGATGGGTGGGGTGCATCTTCTAAAGACTTGGCTAGACAAGCACTTGGCTCAGAACGTGTCCTAGAACTCCCCCCTCCCCTCCACAATCAGAAAAGTGAATTTCAGTACATACAACTCTTAATTTTTATTATGTTATTGTTTAATACCTTTAACCTTTTTATTATTTGATTTACCTTTGCTGGGGTTGATGCCTCGCCGTCCAATGAAAATGAGAACTGATAATGTGTTTATCCATGTTCATAAATTTTGTTGCAGATCAAGAAAGACGGGATGATCCTTTTTGGCTAGGGATCAGGAATGATGAGATGTTCCTGCTTTTTGCTTAGTTCAGTATCAGGAAATACAGTAAAAGTTTAAATGTAAATAAATAAGTGAAATGTCTAAAAAAAAAAAAAAGTTCAGATGGTGATTATTTATGGTTTACAGGGACAGTGAGCGTGAGACAATCGTACAGCATGTACGTCTTGCTCATGCTAGAAATGGACCCGTGTCCCTCCTACATGCTGTCCACCGGTGCGATGTCTGCGGTTATGCTGCTGGTACCAAGCGTGCAGTGCAGGTGTGTAGAGCCATGAAGAGTAATAGAGTTGATCATTACTTTTATAACCACCGTACAGTATTTCATTCAGAATATATTTGGAAAATAAAATCTTCTGATAATTCAATCCTTTGATTTTGTAAAATATATTATTTTTAATCTGTGGTTCTTGCGGTTTGGATATTATCAGCAAACACCTGTAAAATTCAAAAGGTTATGCATGTTCCAATCATGTTTTAGTGCAGAGGAAGAAAATAGGAAAATCGTTTGGATTTTATCATTTGATACGTGATCCAAAGGTAACATTTACTTGTGTGTCAAATTCCCAAGCCATGCATAGGCTCAAAGATCAAATGCAATTTTAGATAACTATTTCTGAAAACCATAATTGTTGATAGAATACAATTTCTTCCAGCTTCACATTGACACCAGCCACGGAGGCCAGGGGGGTATTACCAGTCGATGTGAGGGGCAGAATCCCGACACCAAGGATGTTGCAGGTTTGTTTTTCGTCTTTATAACTCGGTTTGATATCGGTTTGAATCCTTCACAAGAATGTGACTTACAGTGAGCAATGCAACACACACGTATGCAAAGAAAGGAAAGTGACGGCATTTCATTCCATCCTCGATGACTTGATGAGGGTCCAGGGTGGACTGAAGAGTCGTCACTTTCCTTATTTTGTAATACATTGGTTGTTATATATTTTTATGGAATTGTAAATTATTTAATATACATGAATTTCAGGCTGTAATGATAAAAGTCACTGTAGATGTCTATTAATAAATTCAGTTAAATATTCTTAAATATCAGTAAAATATTTGCTGTAAACAAATCACTAATCGACCTATTTTCTTTGACACACTCGCTTTCCGACACTATACAAAACTTTAGGGTTATGTTCCGATGCTTCAGGCTATAGCATTTACGCTTAAAAAAATCACTAACTACATTATGCAGTACAGTATTAGTTTTCTTTTAACCATGCAATAGAGCTTTTATTGTAGATGTTTTGATGTCATAAATAAAAATATTCAACTATAAACATCCACACAATGTAAATTGTTTATAAACATTCGCGTTCTGTACACAGTCATATGCTCATTACCTGGTTCACTTGTGGACAGTGCATGTCAAGTACTGGCCACGGAAAGAAAGTGTTATACACGTGTTTAATACGCAACATCTTCTGATTGGGCAAAGTTAATAACAGTAGTAGTAGTAGTAGTAGTGTAATTACATTGATTTCCTTTAGGGATTTATGCACTCTACTAGAACTTGAAGGAAGGTGAATTAGAGTAGCAATCAATTTATTAAACATATGGCTTCAATATTTCTATGTTGCTTTTGTGTTGACAATTTTTTTTGTTATAGAATGTATACAACAATTCTTACATTTTTGTACAGCCACTAGTACGTATAGTGTTTCGGGCAAGTCCTTAATCCTAAGTTACCTGGAATACAAACCCCTGTGAAGAGTCGTTTTAACAACCAAGTACCCATTTTGCTGTTGAGCTAAACAGAGACTACAGTTTGGAATTTGCGCCCAGTAAATCCTCCCCGGTCAGGTATACGAACCCAGGACAAAGCGCTCGCGAAACACCAGGCAAGCGTCTTAACCACTACACCACGGAGACTGTACACAGTTGGTATTGTGTTGTGAATCAAATATTCGTGCATATAACGAATGAAAGTAATTCAGACTTCGAAAGCGATCTAAAAGGTTATATGACAGTAACAAGTGACTAGGAATACAGTAATTTTACCTATTTATATTTGTTAGCCAGTGTATGGAGAACCCCTATTAATTTCAACACTTTTTGTGATAATATGATGAAATTTGTCTATCAAAATATTTGTTTTTATATCTACTTATCACCATCATTTATTTCCCTTGCGGGACTTCTCGTGTATTCACCCCAACTCTTTCCATTTAAGAACCTTGTTGCCAGCCCATCAGTGCTAAACGAAATCTTTGTTCTTTCTTACTTCCATAATTGTTATCCATCATCCTCCTTATAGTCACAGATTTGTTCTGGCGAGTTTGAAAAGTGCATGCTTCCACTTGCCTAGGTATGAAACCAAATTTATTTTGAGAGTAGAACAAACTTATGAGATGTAAGGTTTAGCATTCATTATTTAATATTTTAAATCACAGGAGAGAGTGAGGGTGCCGAGTACAATGAGAATGCACGAACCTTCCAGTGCCGCTTGTGCCCATTTACTTGCAAGAAACGTAATGAGATGAGGCCCCACTTGATTTACCACACGGCACGCTCCGACTGCATCTTCAAGTGCATGTTCTGCCCATATTATGTACCAACCAAGGGGTGAGTGACTTCAGTAATAAATGTTTAATATAAATTGTCTAGTCCCTATATAAATTTAGTCAGGTTTCCAATTTGATTGAAATCTCATTAACCTGAATTTCTATTTTGAGCTGAGAAGTCAAGAACTCAAACTTCAATTTATTCCGGTTTTAGTTCAGCAGAAATCTCGGTAATCCAAATTCCTTTCTCGGGTTAAAAGGTAAAAAAAAAAATTCTAAACTCGAACATGAATTCATTGGGATTACTCAGAGGTACCTACCTTGAGGCTACCTTGAGGTGCTTCCGGGGCTTAGCGTCCCCGCGGCCCGGTCGTCGACCAGGCCTCCTGGTTGCTGGACTGATCAACCAGGCTGTTAGACACGGCTGCTCGCAGCCTGACGTATGAGTCACAGCCTGGTTGATCAGGTATCCTTTGGAGGTGCTTATCCAGTTCTCTCTTGAAGGTGAGGTGTAGGTTATGAAAATCTGAATTACTGTACCAAGCTCTTACAGTACTATATATCGGAAAATATTGCATCTGCACACTAGATTGTTACATACTTTTTTAGAAAAATATCTTCTATTCATAGGCATTCCACAATTGTAATTTTTGTTTAATTTTTTTTTTTTAAATAAGAAAAATTATTGTATTTTCCAAAGTACATGTACTGTAGTTTATTTTTAGCACTGAAAATTCTAATCTGTGCTTTTCACTGTTTCATTGCAGCGAACTGTTTGAGCACCTGAGTATTCATGGCATGGAGGTGCCACCATCAGTGTTGGATGCTGCCAAGAATGGTAGTGGAAGCAGCACCTCCAGCACCACTACCACCAACTCCCATATTAACACTTTTCGGGTAGGTTATCTTGAGATGATTTCGGGGCTTTTTAGTGTCCCCGCAGCCCGGTCCTCGACCAGGCCTCCACCCCCAGGAAGCAGCCCGTGACAGCTGACTAACACCCAGATACCTATTTTACTGCTAGGTAACAGGGGCATAGGGTGAAAGAAACTCTGCCCATTGTTTCTCGCCGGTGCCTGGGATCAAACCCAGGATCACAAGTCCCGCGTGCTGTCCGCTCGGCCGACCGGCTCATTAACACTTTCGCTCGGGGATGACGCAGCATTGCGTCATCCGTTTACTGGCGGTAATGCCGGGGATGACGCAGCATTGCGTCATCCACTTTAAAAATTCGCCAAAAATCAGGTTTTTATCCGATTTTTTTGGGACTGGTTTTAAAATGTGCGCCGATGTCTTCCCATTTTCTTTGTTGAGCCTCGTGGCCCTCAGGCGGCTTGGCACATGCCGTGGGCCCATTGTCTTTGCTCCACTGTTGTGACCAATGTCGCCTCCCCTCGCATCTCAAACGTGTGAACATTTCGGCTATTTCCCGTGGCTATATTTCTTACTGCGGCTTTAGAAACTATCTACGCTTACTCCACGATGGATAGTAATCATGAACAAGGCCCTTCCAGGAAGAAAATTGCGAAAGAAAGGCTTGAAAAGGGTGGGAATTGGGAGTGTAGCAGGAAGGCCTCTGAGCACTCACTCACGGCTAACGCGTGGCCCGTCTTCAACTCGTCGGCGGTTGGAGCGTGACCAGGTTTTTTTTTTTATATGCTAATGTTCCTCTAGAGAATTTTATTACGAACCCATTGAGACCAAATTGAAAGACCTAGGACAAAAATTGAGGTGACCAGAGTGAAAATAGTGAAAACATTTTATCACGTTTGCGCGCTCCCGGGTAACTCGTTCGCACTTTCTCTGTTTGCTGCGGGTAATTAGCTGGGCTTTTGGAGTTTATATGCATTTAGTGTTGTAGAGAATTTTATTGCGAACACAATGATACCAAATTTAATCTCGTAGAAGGAGAATTGAGGTGACAAAGTTGAAGAGAGTATACACTTTTCGAAATTAACGCGCGCTTCCGTGACACGCTGGGGCCCATATCGCCCTGTCGAGGGGTGGCGCGCGGGGTGAGCGAAAGTGTTAAGACTGTTACAAAATTAAATTTGTAACTAATTTTTTCTTTGATAGAATGTATTGGATTGTATTGGGGATGGGGTGTACCTGGCAGTGCCCAGGTGTCCTCCCTTTCCCTCTTTGCCCTAGGTCCTCCAAACTCCTGCCCCTTTCCCCCCCTCCCTCCACCCTTCTGTTCTTCCCCTCATCCTCCTTCCCCCCCCCCCTCTTCCTTCTTACTCCATCGCCCCTTTCCATTCATCCTCCCTAGCCCCCCTTTCAATTCATCCTCCCTCCCTCATCCTTTCTTTTCCCTTATCCTCCCTACTTAGCCTCTATTCCCGGTCATGAAATATAATAACAGAGAGCAATGAAACATCTGTATTGTTAAAGGAAATTAAGTTTTTCTGATGACGAAAAGCTCTTGGGGCATTTGAATCCATATTTCACACTTGATCAGAATTGAATCTGAGAGATCGGATGTGGGTGTGAATAATTACTATTATTTCTTAAATCATTCAACTTGTGCTGTCTGTGTATGTCTGTCCTGTACCTCCAGACCATTCATCCTGCAAAGTTGGGTGAGGCTAGCCCCAAGCATTGGGCCTCCAACTTTGAACACGCACACATTTTCTCTTACGGGGAATAGATTAATATAGTATTATGCATATTTATTGTGGTACATTCTACAATAGTACATGATGATGTACATATTAATGCACACTGCAAGCATCACACACAAAAAAAGGCACACATGTATGAAATTGTTGGTGAAAAATGTACAGTAAAAAAGGAAAGCTGCTGCTCTTAAAATTAACTGCAATTTGGATTAAACTTATGTTGATATTTATGGCAGATAAATTATGTGACGAGTGTTAATGATACTCTATTTTTGCAGGATGATGTTGGGGCCAGACAGTTTGTATGTGGTACTTGTCCATTTGAAACAAGGAGTCGTGCCAAGCTGATGCACCATCGACAGTTCCACAAACCAAAAGGACTGCCATTCCGCTGCCCCCATTGTTCCTACAATGTAACTCGTCGTCATTTGCTGTCCCAGCATATTCGTGTTCATGGAATGGATGACAATATTGATGGAGCTGGAGCAAGTGACTATACCCAGTTGGATGATCGATCCAATTCTCCCTCCCCATCTCTTACCATTACTCCTGTAGGCAATGCTACAACAGAACCAGGCGAAAACTCGCCCCTCACTGACACGTCCCTGCTCCCCAAACTTACAGATGAAACAACAATGCAGATGGACGATATCCCCTTAGTCTGGGTGTCGAGAGATAATAGATTCTTCAAGATGTTCAAGTGTCGTCATTGTCCACATGTCAACCTACGTAAAACCAACATTCAGGAACACGAGAAAATGCATAAAACCGATGCCTCAAAAGTATCGGGCAGTTTGCATTGCCCCAATTGCTCATATGTTAGTGTAAATGCTGGCGTTATGTCTGCTCACTTGAAGGTTCATTGTGGGTCAATGGGTCAGTGCCATGCTGTAGTCGACCCATCCTTGAGCGATGAAGATCAGCTAAGGCAGCTAACATCTAGAGCATCTACACCTTGTTCAGAAGTAGCTCAATCCTTGCCAGCTGTTAAGGAAGGACTTAGCAGAAAAGCTGATGAAAAGGTCTTGTATTACTGCCAGCAGTGTCCAGCAAGATTCTTCCTAGAAAAGGAGATTCAGATTCATACACGTTTTCATACTACAGGCCTTCAACATACTTGTGATCATTGTAACTATGGTGTACAACAGCCAGCTCATCTTCTTGCTCACCTTAAGGTCCACACTCCGGAATATCAACATCGTACTCGCACAATGATGAATCAACATAGAACGGCTGCCACACATCCACCCGTACCGGGGCTCACACTCCCTCTCGATATATCCATGGATGTAGCCGAGGACAGTCAGTCAGCCCAAACAACAGTAAGAACAGGAGGCCAAGAATATTCAGCCTCCTCTCAGCCCAAGTCCAATGTCCCACCACAGCCTCCACCTACCAGTAAATATATGTGTGATCAGTGTCCAGCTTCATTTAGCAAGTTGTTAACGCTTCAGTATCACCAGTCACTTCACGGAGCCAAAAATCCACATCAGTGTCATCGTTGTTCGTATGCTGGTAAAACAAGCGAGTCTCTTCAACAACATGTCCAACTCCACACTCAGCATGATGAAAACTGTCAGGCTGAGAAAGCTGCTAAAGAAGTCAATACTGTCAAGAAAGCTGAGAGCTTAAAAACAGAATCAGTTTCGAAGTCAAAGAATAGTTCCAAAAGTTCAGAGAAAAATAGCTCGTCTTATTATCCACCAATTAAGCTCAAACTTATTGGATTGCGGCCCGGAGCATCAGAGTGTGGTAGTGATGGTAGTCGGCCACAATTCAAATATTATGTTGAAGAACAAGTTCCTTTATCTGGAGTGGACCTTTTACGCCGCAAGACCCAATTAGAAAAGGAGGGCCACGATAAGGTCACAGTTGATACCGTGACAAATGTTAAGGGTAATGCTCCAAGTAAAAGCAAAGCATCTAAGGATAAAGAGGAAATAGAGGAAGATGACCCAAAAAGAATTGGGGATCCCAAGCTTCATTACCCTCTTCATATAGACAAATTAACGGGTAAATCTCGAGAAAAACGTTACAAATGTAACAAATGTCCCTCTGCCTTTGAAAAGACTGAACAGTATCATGTTCACTCAAATCTTCATGGTTCCAATCATAAGTACAAATGCCGTATTTGTGATTACTCTGTGAAATTTTATGCCAATTTCATGATGCACATTAATCGTCACAAGTACCATGAACGGATGGTGTCCCAGAATGATGGATCATCTCCCCCAGTTGAGAGTGATCTCAAGTATGAACCCATCATATCTTCTAGTGACAATACCTCTCAGGGTGACAAATTCAAAAGTAGACTGGATGACCTTGCTAACAAAGAGAATCTGGATGATGCAGATTTAACTACAACAGAACGTCAACACCTGTTGTTACAGAACAAAAAGGGAGTTACAGATCCATCGAAAAAGGATGATGATAAGGATCGCCGAGTCTTTTATTGTCAGTACTGTCCATATGCAAATCTGAGACGTGATGCCGTTGACAGTCATAGTTTGCGACACCATGCCAATGGAGGGTACGGTGTGTACAAGTGCACTTTCTGCGACTATACAGCATCTCAGCCAAATTTCATTCGTGAACACATTAAAGTGCACTTCCGTCCTTTCAAGTATGTACATCCAGAGGGATACATGCGCCACGACCGGCAAGAAATATTAAGCGTTCCTATTTTGCCACACGGAGGACGAGTAAATGATGCATCGGGTAATGACGAGAGCTCGACATTAGCACGTGAAAAACACTTGGTATTTTCCCATGATGCAGGTGTTTACAAACCACTATTTGTTAATAACACTGAAGCTGAGGAAAATCTGGATTCACAGTTGGTGAGTGGCATAGAAGTGAATTTTCGTTCTGGAGATATAGTTGATGCCCCCAGTGATTTTGTAATATCTTTGCGTCCTGGCAAAGGAAAAGGCCAATTTTTGATGGACACAAATAATACATTTGAACATTCTGATCAGATAGCAACCAATTCAGCAATGCCAGTTGCTGAAAAGAACTGTGGTAATGAGGTTACGGTAACAATTGAAAGCAAGTCTTTTCAGAATGGGATTCAAGAATCTGTTGAAAGACAATCTTTTCAGAATGATGTTACAGAATCTATTGAAAGCCAATCTTTACAGGACAATGCAACTGGTATGCATGTGGACATTGAGACTATGGATACGGGTGATGCACCGAATATGAAGGAAACCAATTTACTTCCTTCCAACTCTTCCAACCTCAGTGACGATACCAAAATGGAGGTTGATTCCTGTGAAGATGCTGGGAAGCTCCAAAATGGAGTCGTGAGCATAATAAATGGCCATGTTGAAGGTGAAACCCAGGATCTAATAGGCTCGGAGGAAAACATGGACGATGGGGTCGAGAACAAAATGGAAATCGACACCAAGGTGATTAAAGCAGACGAATCATTGCAGCACGTCACAAAGGGCTGGGGGACTGACCAACCAGAAAAATTATTAGAGTCTCATTGACTATATCATTGTTATTGAAGCTTTCAATTAATAATTTTGTTTATATCTATTCTCCATGGTATTTCTATTTAATTATTCTATTTATATCTCCAGTACTGTATCCTGTTCCTTCCTGTTAACTAACCTTGGAAGAAAAGAGTAAGGCAGCACTATCGTAAATTTTGCTATCCTGTTCCTTTATGCCCCAGCGTAGTGTAAGATCCCCCAACATTTCCGTTCTGAGGATGTCCAAGTTGGTGTCTGACGCCTGTACCAAATACCCCTGGGCGTTTCTACTGCTATATACCTTCTGAACCACCCCTTACCCCTTCACTCTTCCTTTGCCCCCCCCTACTTGTACTTTGGGCATTTCCATTATTGTGTGTTGTCTGACTTCTACTGTGCATGTCCGCATTATCTTCTGTTGCTCTTGCCTCTGGCTTACTCCTTCCTTATTTGTCAGTTAATTATGAATTACTGCTACTATTTTCAGAATTTTTTATTCATTTCATTCATGATAGTGGTGGTATTGTAATTGCCATTATTGATCCTATTACTAAATTATTGCATTGTGCATCATTATACATTTCTCGTGCAAATATTTTTTTTTGTAACGGCTGTGAATGAAATGTCATTAATCATCTATAATGTAATCGAAAACAAAAAAATACACTCGTCACAGATTACTGCACTTTAAATTATTATAGCTTAATTTATTCAGACACTGACACTGGCATTATTTATAGCATGTTAGTATAGAAGAAAACACCCAAGTCAATCCCCCCCCAACTGCCATGTTCAGGTTTTATCAGACCAAAGACTGAAGTGTGGAAACTTGGAGCAGCTCGGCGAAGCCACTCCAATCTACCCTACTTTGACGGACATTTTAAGTGACTGTGTATGCTCATCTATAATGTTTATTAGTCCAAAAACAGTGTGATTGTTTGTTCATATTTGCAACACTTGTGTATCAAATACCAAACTGGTCAATCTAGTGCCTCATCCAGTGATTTCGTTCGTGGACCCACACCACCATTGTCACCTATATAAAACTAAATATGTATCTAAATACAGTGTGTGTGTATGTAAAATATATATATATGTATATATATATATATGTATATATATATGTATATGTGTGTGTGTGTGAATTCGTTATGTAAATTAAGAAAGTTATGTTAGGCAAGCTGCTTGTGGGCTTGTTAATGTGTGATGCGGTGTAAGGTGGTGACAATGGTGATAGTGCCGTGCACCAAGACGAGGCCCAGCTGGTGAACAGGGGTGAACAAGTCTTGTTAATTTTGACCTCTTGTTGAATTATGTATTATTGTTTTGTTATATTTTGTATAAGTTGAGTCAGACATTTGAGATGATTCTTTGCTCTCCAATTCTCTCCCCTCCTCCCTGGGGCATAAGTAAATGCCAGATCCCTACATTTGTTTTAAATTTAATGAATAATTATTTTAACAAATACTTATATATTTTCATTAAGTTTTGCATCTTTAGTTAACTTTTCTAACTTAATTTAAATCCATTTTAAAAAAAGAGCTTAATGCACACACACCGAGGCATAAAGATGCAATATAATTTGCCATTTTTTTTTTCCATTTACTCGAGGCAAAATTACAGGGAGTTCGAAGAGGCTGGTGTGGAGCCGTTGTGTCGGTCCTACACGGCCGTGCTGGAATGTTCACCGCTTATGTGTTGGGAGTTTTGTAATCTATTTTCACAACAATTTTATGCTAAAACAAGTTGTTTTCTTTATAGCCTACACTATTTGGTATTCTCTAGTAAGGATATTTTCTATTTTGTTTCGTATCTAATTCGTCTAAGTTTTATTCAATATCTGAAATACTTCATTGCTATTGAGCTGACATGTAAAATGGTAAATGTTAAGTTAAAAGTACAGTATAGCTGCTACTGAAATGACTGTGCAGTCATATAGGAATTTTGTGTACTGGTTGCATAGGAGCTATGCATGCTTTGGTAATCTAGAGGAGCAGTTTGAATGGCTTATGAAGTTCCCCTTCTGGCTAAAGGCTTAGAAATCGACTCAAGTTTACCTAACCTTAAGCTCGGTAAATACATAAATGTAAAATAGTAATTCTGACATGCAACCCGATAAGGTTTCTGTGCTCTAATAGACATAGCTCAGTCATCTATTACTGACTGGTTTTGGATGAGCAATAATAGATTAAGATACTGGTCTAGGCCAGACTTAGTTAAAATGATATAGGACCTTTTTCCTTATATGCCAAAAATAAATTGACACGCAAATGCTTATTTAGAGTGAGAACTAAAACTACAAGCAATCCATTCAATTAACATCTAAATACCATAGTGTTATTACCATTATGAATAAGGGCGTCCGCTAAGTTTTATAGAGCACCAGGCCCAGGATACATGTATTTCTATATTTCACAAATCTGTTTAGAGCGCCTATCACCAAAAAAGCTTGACACATGTTATATGACATTATATATGTTATAACATATTTGTTATATGACAGAGTGCTGGGTATACGAGACACCACGAGCGTAGCTCTCATCCTGTAACTACACTTAGGTAATTACAATGTGCATAGATGGCTGGAATCCCTGAATTGGGTAGTACTTGGTACTGTCTAACTAGGTATGAATTAAAGAGGACTGCTGGATGTGTAAGAAATTATGGTATAAAAAGAACTAACTTTATGCCCAGTAATTAACATTAGATATTTTGTCTCACCTGTTGTCTAAAATTTGTAAAAAAAAAAGAGATAGAAAGGAGGCACTAAACTAGAGACCAGTGTCATTGGTATTTCTTGTAAAGTGGTGGAAAAAGTAATCAGGTCGAGGTGGTGGAGCATCTTGAAAGGATCGACTATGCGACAAAAAATCAACATGGATTCAGGAATGGAAAGCCATGCCTGACAAACTTAACAAGTGTCATGACAAGGTTACTAAAGAAAGGCTGGGTAGACAATTTTTCTAGACTCAAAAATGTTTGACACCGTTCCCCATGAAAGACTGTTTTAGAAAATGGAGAACCTTTCTGGGATAACTGAGACAATATTGAACTAGGTAAGGGAGTACCTGAAGGGCAGAAAGCAAAGTCACAGTCAAATAAGGTTTCCAGCTGGAAGAAAATGGGGTCCTACAAGGCTCTTTCTTGGGACTGCAGCCCCATTTCAAGTGGGGTCCACTACCACCTGTAGGATGGATATGGGGTCCACTACCAACTTCTGGATGTGTATGGGATCCACTACCGCACAAAGGTGGGTGGTAGTGAACCCCATACCCATCCTGTGGACGGTAGTGGATCCCATACCCATTCTACGGGTGATAGTGGACCCCATAAACATCCTACAGGTGGTAGTGGACCCCATACCCATCCTGTGGGCGGTAGTGGATCCCATCTCATCCAACAGTTGGTAGGGGACCCCATTAACATCGTACAGGTGGTAGTGGACCCCATTAACATCCTACAGGTGTGGTGGACCCCATAACCCATCTTACGGGTGGTAGTGGACCTCATACCCATCCTACGGTTGGTAGTGGACCCTATACCCACCCTGTGGGTGGTAGTGGACCCAATACCCATCCTACGGGGGGTATGTTGGACCCCATACACACTGAGTGACTAGTTGTGGACCCTATATCCATCCTGAGGATACACTGGCAGTGTTGAAGGTAGCAATGTTCAGTGTACAGGTTCCCAAGTAGGAAGACTTGAGAGGCAAGACCCACGAGAGGCATCAACATCAGAGGCTGGTGTCACGTGACAGACTTGACGTGGTGAGAGGCAATGTTGTGATATGTTATCCCTCCGTTGTAGATGTTCTTTAGTACACCGAGACCGTCTTAGTTGCCTTCCTTACTGTCTGGCTGTGGTCGTCTGAGGTGGAGGTTACGATAAGAGTTATAAGCTTATAAACCTCAAGGTAAACATACAGCTCTGGGCATATGTATTGTTCTTATATGGGCATATGTATGACACTTATATGGGATTGAGTATGGTACCTTTATGGGTATGTGTTTGGTACTTATGTACTTACGTACCTCTATGGTACTTACGTACCTTTTACCTTACACAGACAGTCATCCGTATTTTATAGATATAGAAGATAGACAATGATTAAATCAAGTAATAAAAACTTGACCAGCGGACGAAGACAAAGATGGGGTACATACAGCCCGCCGCCTGCAAAGAATCCGAGCCCGGGCGAAATCGTCATTTTCCACAAAACTCAAAATCAAAACCAGCCATAGAATCGTTTTGAAAATGGTACCATTGTGTTTACCACAGCAATTTACTTTTCTTTCTGTTAAGTCTTTCTTTGCTAATTTTAAATATTAACGCCTATACAGCCATATTTACTGAGATACAGCCACCTCAAATATCAAACCTATCATCGTGTTTTCTCAACAAATTACTAAGGAAAATCAGTTGTAAAAAATGTAATAATAATTAAAATGAGCTAAACAATAAATGGATAATCAAAATAACATTATATCTATATTCCTCATATACTTAGAGACTACTATGCATGGTGCGTATATGGGCATATGTATGCTACTTATATAGGCATATGTATGGTACTTATATTGGCATATGAATGGTACTTATATGGGCAAGTATGGTACTTATAAGGGCATATATGTATGGTAGTTAAAAGGATATATGTATGATAGATATAAAAACATATATATTGTTCTTATACGGGCATAAGTATGGTACGTATTTTGGCATATGTATGTTGCTTATAAGAACTTTTGTATGGTACCTCAATGGGCATATATATTGTTCTTATATGGGCATATGTATGACACTTATATGGGCATGAGTATGGTACATATATGGATATGTATTTGGTACTTATGTACATACGTACCTCTATGGTACTTTAGTACCTTTTACCTTAGACAGACAGTCAACCTTATTTTATAGATATAGAAGATAGGCAATGATTAAATCAAGTAATAAAAACTTGACCAGCGGACGAATACAAAGATGGGGTACATACAGCCCGCCGCCTGCAAAGAATCCGAGCCCGGGCGAAATCGTCATTTTTCACAAAACTCAAAATCAAAACCAGCCATAGAATCGTTTTGAAAATGGTACCATTGTGTTTACCACAGCAATTTACTTTTCTTTCTGTTAAGTCTTTCTTTGCTAATTTTAAATATTAACGCCTATACAGCCATATTTACTGAGATACAGCCACCTCAAATATCAAACCTATCATCGTGTTTTCTCAACAAATTACTAAGGAAAATCAATTGTAAAAAATGTAATAATAATCAAAATGAGCTAAATAATAAATGGATAATCAAAATAACATTATATCAATATTCCTCATGTATTTAGAGACTACTATGCATGGTGCGTATATGGGCATATGTATGCTACTTATAAAGGCATTTGTATGGTACCTATATTGGCATATGAATGGTACTTATATGGGCATTTATGGTACTTATAAGGGCATATGTATGGTAGTTATAAGGGTATATGTATGATACTTATAAGAACATATGTATTGTTCTTATAAGGGCATAAGTATGGTACCTTTTTGGGCATATGTATGTTACTTATAAGAGCTTTTGTATGGTATCTCAATGGGCATATGTATTGTTCTTATATGGGCATATGTATGACACTTATATGGGATTGAGTATGGTACCTTTATGGGTATGTGTTTGGTACTTATGTACTTACGTACCTCTATGGTACTTACGTACCTTTTACCTTACACAGACAGTCATCCTTATTTTATAGATATAGAAGATAGACAATGATTAAATCAAGTAATAAAAACTTGACCAGCGGACGAATACAAAGATGGGGTACATACAGCCCGCCGCCTGCAAAGAATCCCAGCCCAGGCGAAATCGTCATTTTTCACAAAACTCAAAATCAAAACCAGCCATAGAATCGTTTTGAAAATGGTACCATTGTGTTTACCACAGCAATTTACTTTTCTTTCTGTTAAGTCTTTCTTTGCTAATTTTAAATATTAACGCCTATACAGCCATATTTACTGAGATACAGCCACCTCAAATATCAAACCTATCATCGTGTTTTCTCAACAAATTACTAAGGAAAATGAGCTTTAAAAAATGTAATAATAATCAAAATGAGCTAAATAATAAATGGATAATCAAAATAACATTATATCAATATTCCTCATGTATTTAGAGACTACTATGCATGGTGCGTATATGGGCATATGTATGCTACTTATAAAGGCTTTTGTATGGTACCTATATTGGCATATGAATGGTACTTATATGGGCATTTATGGTACTTATAAGGGCATATGTATGGTAGTTAAAAGGATATATGTATGATAGATATAAAAACATATATATTGTTCTTATAAGGGCATAAGTATGGTACGTATTTTGGCATATGTATGTTGCTTATAAGAACTTTTGTATGGTACCTCAATGGGCATATATATTGTTCTTATATGGGCATATGTATGACACTTATATGGGCATGAGTATGGTACATATATGGATATGTATTTGGTACTTATGTACATACGTACCTCTATGGTACTTTAGTACCTTTTACCTTAGACAGACAGTCAACCTTATTTTATAGATATAGAAGATAGGCAATGATTAAATCAAGTAATAAAAACTTGACCAGCGGACGAATACAAAGATGGGGTACATACAGCCCGCCGCCTGCAAAGAATCCGAGCCCGGGCGAAATCGTCATTTTTCACAAAACTCAAAATCAAAACCAGCCATAGAAT